CAGCAACACTTAGAAAGCTGTGTTTACATGAAACACAGCAAATCTTTGCCAGTAGAGATATTTTAGGATACCAGTAGTACTTTTAGGGTTTAGCTATGCTTGTACTAGCCATTAGCTTGTCAATCTGTTTATCATCTTAATCTCTTTTCCCCATAGAGGGTCAAAGGTTTCAGCAGGAATCAGACGATAGGCTGGGGACACCCTAGACCCATCTCCAGTCTATTATAGGGACACATAACTAATAACTAACTAGGGACAATTTCTAGTCTCCAATGAACCTAATGTTCATGTTTTTGGTGTGTGGGGGGAACCCGAGCACCGGGAGTAAACCCACGTATGCATGGGGAGAACATGCTAACTCCAAGCGAGAAGGATTCAGTTCAGATTTGAACCTGTAACCTTTTCCAGCCAAGGAACAGTGCTATCCACTGTTCCACCATGCAACCCCGCTTTTTTCCTAGCTTATTTTCTGGGTTTCGTTAGATTTGGGGTAGGAGATTTGAAGGCCAGTGGATTGTTGGATTAGTCCTTCTTTTTCCACCTCTGGGGTTTTCTCAGTCCCAGAAAATGTCTCATTCTTTTCCAGACGGAAGATTTTTGTTTTGTCTCCGTGTTTTCAGAAATTGTTGCAGTGGATTCTGCATCTGGGCTGTTTGGTGGTGACGGGGGTTCAGCCGCTCTTTCCAGGTCGAGCTTAACAGGAGTTGGCTCCTGGCTTGGCAACGCTCGGCGAGCAAGCTTTCTTTTAGGAGGTCCAAATCCATCCCTGTCTGTCAGCTCGGCGATGAGATCGTGGTTCAGTTGGACCTGATTTTGGAGCTGAGTTTCTATTTGTTTAACATCAGCTTTCAAACATTCCTCTTTGTCGGAGGATGTTTTTGTAATAAAAGCGATTTCCTGATGAAAAGCACTGTTTTCATCTCTTAAACTGTAAATTTCTGCCTCCGCTTTAAGCCATGTTTGATAATGAGCAGCTCTCTCCTGGTGAAGAGACTTCTCTAAAGCTTCTGCTTGTTGTTTTAACTCAACAACCTTAGACTCGGAGATATTTTTGAGCTCCTGGTAAGACGCCTGAATCTTCTCTAGATCTGCAAGGAGTTGCTCTTCCTTCTGCTGAGAACTTTTTTGCAGGTCTGCGAAAGTCTGATAGAGTTCCTCTTTCTCGTTTCCCAGCTGGAAAATAAGTTGCTGTTTCTGCTCCATTTTCTCTGTGAGGACCTGGATTTCTCTGCTTGCCTTTTCTTGCTGAGAAGACGCAGTCTTTTGACTTGCAGACAAATCTCGTTCATATTTCAGGCTCATGTCCTGAATCTGGCTTTTAAGCTTGTTAAGTTCTTCCTGTAGACTCTGGCTTTTCTCTTTCTCCATCTGAAGCTCAGATAAAAGCTTCTCTTGGTTGGTAATGTGAGAAACCTTTAACTCTTCGTAATCCTGCTGAAGAGCCTTTTTCTTGTGTCTTTTAATGGTGCTTTGCACCTGAGAAGCGATTTTGGTTGCGCTGAGAGTCTCTGCATTGCTGTATTTTTGCAGTCGTTCCAGCTCTCTCTTGGTCTCTTTGCCCTTATTGATGTACAGTTCTTTAAGACACTTTTGTCTTTCCAAATTCGCCTTAGTTTGGTCGAGCTCTTGCTCCAGTTGAGAAGCTCTTTGGTTTTCGTGAGACCATTTAGCTCTCTCAGTGTTTAAAAGAGCATTCAGCCTGTGGACTTCGTTCAGAAGTGTAACTTGGTCCATGGAAGCCTGTTGGGCAGACGCCGTGGTTTTCTGTTGTGCCATTGGATTCATGGTTTATAGAAACGCAGCAATAATACTGACTGTAAAACACACTTGGTAAAACGCTACAAAGAAACAAAGTGTTGAAGACAGGAGAACGAATTCTCTGCTGAGAGCAAGTCACTACGTCTCGGAATGGTAGCTGAGTGTGGTGTAGTCTGTGATGACGTCACAAAGCGATGTAATCAAAGCTGCAACGTAACCACGTTCTAGAGCGTCACTTGCGTGCATGCAGTATCAGGACTAGCCAGCGTCTGCGTCAGCGTCAGCTTCTTTCAGCCACCCTACAGCAGCTACAGGAACAGTCTTATTATGTAAATGCACAAATCTCTGTGGTCAACAAAATTGTTATGCCCAAGGTCAGAAGTGGAAAGTAACGAATTACATTTACTCACGTTATTCTAATTGAGTAGTTTTTTGTGCATTTATACTTTTTTAGTCGTTTTGAAAATCTATACTTTTTCTTTTACTTGAGTATTTTATAAAAAATAATTGTAAGTCGCTACATTTGAAATCATATCCGTTACTGAGTAAAAATAAATTGTAGACTTAATTAATTAAAAATATTGCATGTGTCGGAGCAGAAAGAGACACCTGCACGAGCGCCACGTCTAAACAGGGGGGGGGGGGGGTACACTTGATAATGAGAACAGCAATTTTTACCGCAGTTTAGCTCAAAAACATCAGTTCTGTCCTTGTGATCCACTCGCTGTTTACCTCCTCTCCTGTGGGGTTGGAACCCGCACCTTCGCGCACCGGTGGGACGTCATCAGAATTCAGCTCGGTTCGGTAACCAGACTCGGTTCCGTGTTTGAGATGTGTTTCCCTACCGCTCCGCACGGCAGCGTCAAAATAACGTTTAGCGCTCATAACAAGCGGATTCTCAGCGCTTTGCTCAGAAGACCTGCAGGCCTCTGTGAGTTAAAACTGTTCAAGTGTAAACATTGTGCTCCATCCCTGTGTTTGAACTCAGAAGTTGCTTCTTGATGCCACAGATATGTGATGATTTAGCTTGTTTCTTTATTTTACTCCAGAATAAGAGATTAAAGTATTATAAAAGCAGTTCAGTGTAGTTAAATTAGTCATTCAAATGATTCTAACATGCTGCTGCTGTGTGTGTGTGTGTGTGTGTGTGTGTGTGTGTGTGTGTGTGTGTGTGTGTGTGTGTGTGTGTGTGTGTGTGTTACACATATAGGACTGCATGAGACAGCATGGTTTCATCAAATCCATAAATCTTATTTCTTGGTTGAAGTTATGGCGAACAAAAATAACTTCTATTTAAATAATGACGTCTCAATAGTGTCTACGATAATGTTTTACCTTATATTGAACCTATCTTTGGTCTGGGAGGTGTAACATAGCATGATACAAGCCTTTTAAAACATGTTAAAGTGCTACAAGAGGACATAAAGGCATGAAGTTAAAGTTCATGTTTGGAGACCAACCTTCACAGTTTGGAGGCTCACGCTGGTGAGAGACACCGTTAGTTCTAGTAACACCTGGGCTCCCAAGGCCTGTTCTGACAGGATGGACGTTACGGGACCCTTAATGATTCCAGTTGGATGATTGGAGGATTATTTAGGATTGGAATGAACAAACTGATTTCAGTGGTGAAGGGTTAAATGAGTGAGTGAACCCACTACCAAGGATGAACTCTGCTAACTTTAAATGTCAGAGAGGAGCTCTAGGATGGACACGGATAAAGGAACTGTAATGTGGAGGTAAAGTAGGGCAGGGCCATCGTTAGCAGCTGTCTTACGGTCCATTTGAAATCTTTGAATTTCATTTAGCTTGTTATGTTATGTGACATGTTAGAGCACAGTCTCATGTTACTTTTGTCATGAAAACATTGAGATACCTCACATCCTGATGACATCTAAAAAAGTGTGTTTTTTCTCAACATAAAGAATAATTTTTATCACAAGTGAAACCTACAACCCTAGAAAAGCTCGTCCGATCATTGTGCACATTCCTGTTCTCACTGATTGGATAGATATCCCCCCATCAAACTGTGTGTGTGTGTGTGTGTGTGTGTGTGTGTGTGTGTGTGTGTGTGTGTGTGTGTGTGTGTGTGTGTGTGTGTCGTCCTTATGCTGACAAAAATGTAACGAAGTAACTTTTACCTTGAGTACATTTTATTTACGATACTTTCTACTTTTACTTGAGTAAAAATTTAGGCAAGTACTTTTACTCGTACTTGAGTAAAAAATTATCAATGTATTGGTACTCGTACTTAAGTAGGAAATTTTAGTATTCTTTCCACCTCTGGTTATTCTTTAAATAAAATACTTAAAGATGATAGTTTTATTAAAATTACAGATCTTTAATTTGGTGGCCTTTAGAAAAATAAAAGTTATTTACATGTTTACTTTTAAATTGAACATTGAAAATAAGTACAAAGACAGAAAATTTAAATTAAAACACACCAAAGTAAGATTTTACTTAGTAATTAGTCACCTTTTGTCTGTTTGTTCATTACCTCTCACCTGGATTATGCAAACGCCCTCTTAGCTGGTGCTCCGGTCTCTGCCCTGAACCGGCTGCAGGTCGTCCAGAACGCTGCTGCCAGGTTCTTGACAAATACGCACCGACATAGCCACATTACCCCTTTCCTTACCTGGCACATCTTCACTGGTTCCCTGTCATTTTCCGAGTAAAGTTTAATTATTGACTTTTGTATTTAAAGCACTCGACGACCTGGCACCTGCCTATCTCTCTGACCTGCTCACTCCCTATGTACCCACGCACACGCTGAGGTCAACTGACCTGCTGCTTTGCACGCCCCAGATGCGATACAAATCACAGGGTGAACCAGCATTTGTACACGCTGCCCCAAAGCCGTGGAACTCGTTACCCATTATAGTTTGGCAGGCTCCATCATTGGCGGTTTTTAAATCCCTTTTAAAGACCCACTTTGATGATATTCCTCATGTTTTATCTGCTTTTGATCGGTATTTTTATCTTCTGTTTTAGTTGATTAGATTGGTTGTGTTTTGGGTTAGCCTGTGCAGCACTTTGGGCAGCTGCGTTTTAAATGTGCTATATAAATAAACTGTGGTATGGTTTTATTTTAATGATCTGAGACATCCTACCATATCTGTTCTGTTTTGTTTCATAGTGATTCTGCTGGTAGTTGTTGTGCATCATTTGTTGTTTTTTAGTTCAAAAGTGGCAGACCAAACCTTCCAGAGATGTGATTTAACTACAAAAGACTCTGAACACGGATGTGTTGTTTTAATCATTTACTTGGTATAGAGTTCACTCATTAAAAGACAAAAATTGTTACATAAAAATCAAACAAAATGCTTTTTATTGTGCTGCTCTGATGCCACTGGTAATACACTCAGCTGAACTAGGATCATCTAGTCTTTGGTGTGGGTTAGAGTTAAATGCTTGACATTCATTGTCCTGGTCCTGTGCTGCAGCAGATGTCACAACAAGGAGTGGAGAGGTTTCTCCACGCTGATGAACAGATGAATGACAGGGTGGTTTAGGGAGCGGGGGTTGCTTCGATCTCAGGGCACTCCGCTGTGAAAAGAAAACACCAGTAAAATTGACTAAAGCACTGATTCTGGTTAAAAGAAGAGTGTGAATGCTGATGACGTACCATTCTTTGGGAGGACGATGATGTTTTCAGGCTGGATGCCGGCGGTCTGGGAATACTGAATGAACTTCTGCTGCAGGTCAGCGGTGGTCTCAGGGGTTCGGCCTGCAAGCACAAAGCTCTTTAAGCTATTGCTTTCAAACTGGTTTCAGTGGTTCTTTAAGTCATAAACTTGAGCAACTTTATATTGGACAGAACTCTGCTGCCCTCTGCTGACCAGAAACTGCACTTAACAGTTTTTGTTCTGGTAGGAACACTAGTGGGAGGTCTCTACCTACTTTACAGCTTTAGCAGTAAGCTTTTTTCAGTTTGCCGATCATCAATAAAAAGCACAAGAAGAAGAAGTGAGCTTTTTACGTTTGCATCATGACAGAACCTGGAAGCAAAAGGTAGGGAGTAATGTCTTTGGAGGCAAAGCAAAAAGTGAGACCTACACTAGGTTGAAGAAGCTAAAGGAGGCTACGAAATCACGGACTAATGGTGACCTGGCTTTGTTGCTTCTGGACTTGTAAGTAATATTTTTTGTCCAACGGTGTAGATCTTCTTACTTTGTGGCTTATTTAGTATTTTTGGCTCATGTTAGTGTTAGCTCTAGCTACAGCAGGCTTGTTTACAAGTGTGAGGGGAGGCAAAAGTGTTACTTTAAATTCTCAATCCGTTTTTTCTCATTCAGATTTGGTGGACACAACTTACTGTACAGCTTGACGAGGACGTCAGACACTCCCTCCTGTGTCTTGATGGTGTGGGACAGAGCGTAGTTGTCGTACACAACATCAACGATGCTCATGTCATTGTCATTGTTCCACGCTAAGGGGGGAAAGGAGCGGTTTGTGAGTAAACCAGTGTGGTTCTAGGGTGTGTGTGTGTGTGTGTGTGTGTGTGTGTGTGTGTGTGTGTGTGTGTGTGTGTGTGTGTGTGGCCACTCACTCTTGCTGTGGAAGACGAAGCGTCCAGGAGTTTCTGTCTTATTGGCCAGGTGAGCCATTCTCCAACAAGTCCCATCAGCGCTGTACAGCACGAGAAAAATTGTGTTTGTGACTCTTAAATCTGAATGCTGCTTTGTTTCAGACTCATCACTTACTTCAGGGTGGCGTAAGACAAGTGCAGATCTCCTTGCTCAGTTGGGACGAACATGACAGTTCCAACCTTCATGGAATCCTTTTGAGTCACAAACCACTCAGCGTTGGTAGCAAAGCCAACCAAGTACCACTTGCCTGCAATCTAAAGGTAAACACAAAGAGCTTAATCAACAGAATGGTTCCTGCAATCCAAAAAAGTACGTGCATTAGCATAACGTTTGACTTTTTGCGTAGCTGCGGAACAAATCTCACCTTCTCCAGGCTGAAGTCCTGCACAGGTGTGACAGCTGCACACACAGACAGCACACAGGTCAGCACGATCAGCACCGTGGTCCTCATTGCTTCTCAGCTTCAGCACTTCTTTCACACAGAGAGATCAGGAGTGTGGAGGATTTGCAGTCCGTTGGTTGCCTTATATGCTTCTGCAGCATCCTCCTCCCTCCTCCTGTCTCCACCCCCTGCTGCTGCTGTTGCTGCTCCTGGTACTGACTTGGACATTACAAAAACTTCCAAAGGAATGCAAATTACTGCAGTTACACAACTGGCACATGTGGATGAAAAAAATATCAAGAATTGAGCTTTTATTTTTTACAGCTCAGGAATGACTAAACTAAGCAGAACATCTGCTAGGTAAAAGCAGAATGTCTCCCCATAGCCAAAAACGAGCTGCGAACAAAGAACCAATAGAAAATTCTGCATAAAATGATTTTAGAATGCTTATAATTTCATAAAAGTTTTGAAAGTATGAGGAAAATGTGTAACAGGGGACTAGGTGGTTTTTGTTTCATGGATTTAAACGGAATTTAACAAATTATGTGAGCTTTGTGCAGATGTTCGCCGAATCAGAGTTGCTTTTGTAAGTAGAGCAGGCAGGAACTGACTTGCAATCGGCTGGTTGCATAACACACACACACACACACACATATAAATTACCAAATGTGTGCCGGGTGGAACGAGGAGCAGCACACTGGAGTGGGCATACTTGGAACCTCGTTTCACAACCAAATCCAAACCTGGCCTTTATTATCTCCAGCTCCAACATCAAGCCGTGTTTTTAACGCCTATTTGCATGCCAGAAGCACAAAGTCAAACTACGAAACCCAAAGTATCTGACAGTAAATTAATTTTTTTCCATGGTATTTTTATTTTTAGCTTGATCCTCTTCCAAAGTAAGTTCCTGTTTTAAGGCGGAGGTTCAGTCAGCTCCGTCGACTGGCTGGGGAGCGCTCCTCCTCTTCAGCAAGTGGGAACACAGTCTGTGAAACAAAAAGTGACATGAAATCACGTAGAAGACGTGCAGATGTTCTCCACGTGCTGTGAACGTTGGATAACATGTTGAATAAGCAGATTTTTTTTTGTTTCATGAGTTGAGCGGTACACACACAAGGCTGCTAGAGAAATCACAATATCATCATCAATCATCAATAGTGCAAGAATATCAACGGCACGTTTAATCAATCTGATCTTTTTACTCTTTAGTTTGCTTCTTAGTGCAAATATCAGGGTTTTACCAATTAATTCTGGGTTATCGGGAATTTTGCCAACAATTAGCAGCATGCTCCTGCAGTGAAAATATTATTTGCTGCTTCTGACCGAGCAGAGTTCATGAAGTGATGACAAAGTCTTTCTTGGTAAAGGTTTTTCCGTTTTTTCTTACGTCATTAGAAGTTATCAGAACAGAGAATGTCAGACCAGGGCCTGTTCCAGGGAATGATTAAATCATTGCTCCTGAGCTTCATAGAAGGTTATTCAAAACATTCTAAATAATCCTGTTGTTTTTTTGCAGATGTTGAAGTGGTGAGGCACTGCTCTGAGCAGAAATTTTGTAAAAAAAAAACAACCAAAAATGTTTTTTTTACACAATTTTGATGGAAAAAGTACCAAACTTTGAAAAAAAGAATTTGATTTTGGGGTAAACAACAGCGATCCTCTTTGGCATTAACTAGAAAAATCCCGAAATTGAATGAAAATAATTTGTCTTGACACAAAAACATTCTGAGCCTTTTCTTCTACAACTCCAAAAGCCTTTAGGAAAATTTTCATTTTGTTTTCTAAAATGCTGATGATAATATTTAAAAAAATACTCTTTTTAAGTTTTATATTAAACAAGTTGTGCAAGATAGTGGAAATTTCTGGAAGGACAGCGGGGGGGGGGGGGTGGTAAAATGGCTCTGTCCTTTGAGCCGTTGTGTGTCCTAACATAATTGGCCCCATACTTTTCGGACTTTGCTAAGATGTCAGTGTGTCGCCACTACTTCACCAGCGAGTGACTAAGTGCGCCGTGATTTAATCCATTCAGGGGACGGGGAGACTGGCTGTGTGACATTAAAATGACCAGAAAAGGCATCATTTTTTCCATTACAAATGACGGTGCTTTGGGGGATTTCTAACGCATTTTTCAGCGTTGGGCGGTTAGAAACAGCAGTTTTAAAACTGCTTCTTTTCTTTTCCTTTCATTCTGCTTCACCAGCAACTCTTCCAATATAACGAATGTCGGTTGTTTGACCACGTCTGCCGATGTCACTTCCTACTGCGTTCCAGCCAACCAATCAGCACAAGTTAACCACAAGTCCCACCCAGCAACAAACCCCAGTAGTTCAGGTCCTCGGTTAGTCCCTGAAATGGCCTGGAAAGTGGTCCTGTTGGGCCAGCTCAGTAAAATGGAGACGTGTGCATGCCACAAACATCCGGTAAAAATACCTGGAGAGTCCGATAGTGGAATCGGGTCTAAACGTACTGATCATTGCTGGATCAGAAAGCTGGACTGTCTTTGAAAACATATAAAAAGGCTCATGTTGAGCAGGAATCCCAGTGAAGGCATCACATTTGAACAAGGATGCATCTTGTGTTTGGATTTTAGGTGTTATTTTGCATAATCATTATTGCAACTTACTGATTATATGGTCCTGGTCCACATTGCCACAGTGACCTATAGAGATGGGGACAATTAATAATATAATATTACCTTAAAGTGAAACATGATGTATATTTAGTGTCTCTTTTCATGCTCTTACTGTATGTGGGGAAAGGGAATAGGTAGGCCAGCCCCAAACTGTGTTTCTCAGCAAGCTGTTCAAATTTGGCCAGGACTGGTTCCGATAGGTTGTCCACGGACCTGCCTGCAAGCCATCATAGCAACATTTATAGGTGTGGTATGTCGTTGTCACTGGAAACGTGCAGCTAATGAACCTACTGTAGAGCTTTGCTGTGATTCTGCCCTGTTTCTGGTAGTACAGGACTGCATAGCCGGTGTAGTCCGTTTCTCCAATCACGATGTCGGTGTTGAGCTCAGGACGAGCTCCTGTTGGGAATAACAAAGAGCTGAGTGGACAAACCTGCTAGCCTGGCAAGCCAGACTAAATAAATGTATTATTTAGTCTGGCAACGCTCCATTGACGGCTCTCGGTTGTGGGGCGGGTTCTACCGTTGTCTTTCAAATGATCGCATTCCACTGGACAATGAATGTGACATACTCTTGTTTCACTCTGTTGCGTCATCCCACCCACCAGGCATATAGAGTGCCCTGATTGGCCCACAAAGCGGATAAAGCTCTGTGATTTGTTCACTAAGCAGATAGAGCACTATGATTGGCCCACCATTATGGACCAATCACAGCTCTTTATGTGTTTGAAACCCCTCTAGAGAGCTGTGATTGGTTAGCCAGAGTCCTGGTAGGAGCTGCAGAGGTTCCAATGGAGCGTTCCTAGACCAAACTTTGCAAAGCACGAATTTGGTCTAGTTCACTAGGCTACAAACCTGCATGCTCAGCCAAATGCTAAACGAAAAGAGCTGACCTTTAAGTGTCAGCTTTCCCGGAGTTGAGGTTAGATGATAGACCTGTAAAATCTCCCAGCACTGATGATTACTGGAAAAAGGAGAAAATTTAAGAAATGACTTGTATTATTATCACCATTCCAAAGCCAAGTCAGATGAACTCAAGATCTCGAAGTAGTAGCGCAAGGGCAAAGATGATGGGTGTTACTGTTCTTCTTGTTTTGGAGGTAAAACGAAAACAGGACTTACTGTCGGGTTTTTGTACTAACAGACAGGGTTTGGTCAGAGTCAGAGGGACCTGTGAGGGTTATGACAGTTGGCTCCACACTGGTTCCTCGTGTGATCAGGTAGGAGCACTTTGAAGCAGCGTTAAGGAGGTACCACGTTCCTGTCATCTGCAACAGAGAATTCTCATATAATTCTTTCTGGTGGCACTGATCTGTTTCTGATGCTGTATTTTACATTGCCTCCATGTGGCCTCAACTCAAAAGACACAGTTTCACGAACACAAAATCCCCCTAGCTGATTTAAGGCTGATAGTGACCCGGTATGGGTAACAACCAGGAAAAAAGGAAAACTAGCTTTCCAAGTAACTTTTAGCTGAACACTTTTAGGTCAGGTGTTTTCAAATGTGAACAATAATTGTCTCTTATTGAAGATTTTTAAGTAATTTGTTGTTAAATTTTACACTTTCTACACTTGTTTTTAAATTTGAGGTATAAAATAGGTAAAAACACATTCTGTATCAGAGTGCAAAGGTCAGACAACAGCACACAGATCTGTTTGCAGTGGTCTAGATGAAATCAGCATGCAGGACAAAGTTCGTTGTCTAATTCAATCAAAATGAGCTCCTTCATCATAAACAAGCTGAATGTGTTCACTTTTGTCCTAATAAACTCACAAATGAGTTAATTTATGCTGATGGAGTTTATTCGTGGGGTTTGGACAAATCTGGAGAAATCTGTTGGTTTTTGGTCCGCTACACATCTCTGCATGTTGGACAGAAAGGGGGACGAATATTTTGAATGTCCTTGATGTTATGGTTTTTGGGCAGTAACCCACTGGACAGATCTGAAACAATCCACTTTTATGGAATGTGTGCACCACACTTCATTTAGCAACACAATTTTTAATTCTAGGCGCAATGAGAGCATTGTCAAACAAATCAAACGTTCTGATCTCCAGAAATGTTCCAGAAACAGCTTTTTCCTTCCCCAGTCTCTTACCCGATGTATGTCTATATTCTGAGGAGGTGGAGTCGAGTCCAACGGGTTATCCTTTGGCTTCGTCGGAGGTCGCCTTTGAGGTTTTGGTCGACTTCTGGCCCCTCCTATAGCCTCAGCTGGAACCCAGAGACACAGCAACGCCAACACTACAAGCACGCATCGACACACTCCCATCATCCTGACTGAAGAGTCTTGTCTTTAAGCTAGATAACTCTACTTCCTTCAGGTTCAGATCTTTTTTGTGAAATTCACTTTTCAGAGTCTCCACCTCTGAATGTTTTTGCTGGCTGCTGTGTAGTATCTGCTTTACTCAATCTGCACAGTCCCATATGAAATGCAGAGGACAGGAGAGAGACTGTGTTAAACATTAATATGGTTCATTGGTAAAGATGGGGCCCTTCTGAAGGGCTGTGTTCCATTTCTGTACAACAGGGGGCAGTAAAAGCTTCCCATCTGTTTGTGTAGTACAGAATTGCTCTGCAATACATTTCTGTGTAGAGGTCATAAACAATAATTTTGTTTTTAGATTGAAAAAATATATTAGTTCTGGTTGGATTGACAAGCTAATGGCTAGTCTGATCCCTCACCTATCCAGTCCGGTCGGAATTCATCTCAATTTTGATAAACAGAGGTCATTAAAGGTCATTAAAGAGGCGATCTACAACACTGTTCATAAACTTTCCACATTTGGATTACTTCTTTAGGTGAAAGAGTAATGACCAGGCAAGATGTGAGGAATCAAGATTTCAAGATGAGAATACAATAAAATTTGCCTAGAAACCTAGACAAACCAAAGCAATAGAAAAAGATTTAGTTCTGCAGGTTAATATAGTTACGCTCTACTGTAATATTAGCTGTTCCACCATTGGCTTGGTTAAGTTTAGCCCATGCCAGTCACAGCCCTCTGTTTGTAAAGAAACGATGCGGATCATACACACACACACACACACACACACACACAGGGGTGGATTAAGGACTGAAGAACATCCGGGGCTTAACACACGCACACACACGTGACACGCACTAGTCAACATCATATTTGTCTTGTACCACATAATTTTTAATCTGAAGCTACATATTAAGCATTTTCAGGGCAGAGTATTGTTCCTGTTAGTGTTTAGTGTGAGATGATAGTAAATATTCCCTTTCTTTCTCCAACAACTTTACCTGATAGTAAGCTAACTTTAGGCAAACCAGCAGCACAACAAATATTTTCAAATAAGACTCACAAACCTGAGTCAACACCAGTCTCATCAAAGCTGGGGTTCTGTCGCCGTACTTTTGGTCTAAAAAACGTCCTTATGTCCATCTTCACTCATGTGTTTCAGGCAGACTGCAGAAGAAGCCAGCTGCTGAAGGGCTTCTTCTGCAGTGGTGGAGGCTCAGGCAGGCTGTATACAAACTACTGCCAGCAGCTCCCTCTCTGTTGGACTTTGGTACTGCATGTTACTTCCACGATTTAGATCCGGGGCTTTTCATAAAACATCCGGGGCTTGAGCCCAAGTAGCCGGGCCTAACGCCGCCCCTGCACACACACACACATATATATATATATATATATATATATATATATATATATATATATATATATACATATGTGTGTGTGTGTGTGTATAATATACATATATATATATATATATATATATATATATATATATATATATATATATATATATATATATATATATATATATATATACATATGTGTGTGTGTGTGTGTGTGTATAATATACATATATATATATATATATATATATATATATATACACATATGTGTGTGTGTGTGTGTGTATAATATATATATATATATATATATATATATATATATATATATATATAAGTGTTGTTCCTGGGCTGCCAACATCTTTGTTGTTTTTCTCTGCCCTGTTGACCAATAACTGTTGCTATGAATACCTGACATTGTTTATCTTTGATTGGTTCAAGCGCTGTCCAATTGTGTGCCAAAAAATTTGAAAGACAACAGTAGAATCCGCCTCACGACCGATCTCTCTCTGTGTGGGTTGTGGCCAGACTATATTTTCACATATACTGGATGGCGCCCCAGCCCACAATACATTGAAAGTTAAAGCAGAACTTGATCTTAAGCTATCTGGATTTTCTTGCAAAGAAAAGTCTACAAGGTTATAATATTTAAAGCAAAAAAAGACACGAAACGTGACTGAGAACTTTTTATGAAAATAATGGCTCAATGAGCAGATCCCAGCAAGACGCATTCTTTCTAATGACATTATACAGTCATACTCAACAAATATTAGTAAAAACACCAAAAACATGAAGAGTTGGATCTGTGTGTGGTTCAACTTAACTAAACCTGTCTCTACTGTTATTAGCTTCCAGTGTTTTCTGAGACCATTTAGGGACACGTTACTGTCAAAATCATTTAACAAACATGTTCAGATCATGAATGCAGAATGAAGGATCCAGTAAAACCAATCATTTAAGTCCATCACTTCCGCTCATCCTCGTCGACTTTGTTGTTTTCTCTTGGTTTAAATTTGAGTGCCGCACTGTTGATGCAGAAGCGCTGGCCCATTGGGTCTGGGCCGTCATCAAACACGTGACCCAGGTGGGCATCACACTGTGTGACAAATACACAACAGCAGAAGAAATTTAGACCACGGCTTTTCTTAATAAATCACACAACACAATGTTTTTTTAATGATGTCATTATTGTTTACAAATGTACTAAATTAAAATAGGATTTTAAAACTGATTTCTTGCATTTTTGCTGACACACTATAAAATAAGTCATCTCCAGTCACTGCATTTTATTAATGTTGAAATAATATTGAAATAACTAAAATACTAGAATAAATATTAGAATTTTTACCTATCACATATCAGTTTACACAAAATCCGTTAGGTCCTGTGCTTCACACATTCTTCCACGTCCCTTAACACCGAGTGCTGAAGAACTCATTCGGCCCAATTCCAATATTGTAACCTGGGTAATTTGACTGGACCTTTGCATCATGTGTGCGTCTCCATTTCACCAGCCCGACTCAACAGGACCACCTTCTGTGCCATTTCAGGGACCAACCATGTCACGTTGCAGGTTAGGAGGAGGTTAGGACCCAAGGTGCAGACAACACCAGATGGCACGAGGCGGGAGCGGTTGAAAAAGTAAAATCCTTTATTTAGGAATATAACCAAAAATCCAAAGGGAAGGAGGCCAAAACCTAATAACTAAACTCAGACAAAAACCAAAAGCTCACTTACTGAGCAGAGACCTAGAGACTAGTAGGGAGGGACAAAACAACGCTGACATAAATGGTAAATGGCCTGTATTTGATATAGCGCCTTCTAGAGTCCTGGAACCCCCCAAGGCGCTTTACAACACAATCAGTCATTCACCCATTCACACACTGGTGGGGATGAGCTACAATGTAGCCACAGCTGCCCTGGAGCGCACTGACAGAGGCGAGGCTGCCTAGCACTGGCGCCACCGGTCCCTCCGACCACCACCAGCAGGCAACGTGGGTTAAGTGTCTTGCCCAAGGACACAACGACAGCGACAGACTGAGTGGGGCTCGAACCTGCAACCTTCCGATTACGGGGCGAGCGCTTAACTCCTGTGCCACCGTCGCCACATAAGACAATGAACCAACAAACACAGAGTGACAAGACAGGGCTTAACGAGACTGGGAAGATGAGAGGGAGATGAATTGCAGGTGTGTGGGGAGAGGGACCAGGTGAACACAATTACTAACTCAGGGAAGAAACTAACATGACCTAAGAGTGAACCTAAAAACAGAAAAGTAACCACATAGCTAAAATTCTAAAGGGAAGGAGAACTACAAAAACCGGTGGGACAAAACATATTAAAGAGACTAATAGAAATGAAAAGTTGAAACTATAAACACTGCAGAGGGATGACTGGAGAAGACTAAAGGAACACAGGAGACACATAAATGAGATGCAGACAAAGGACAAATGAGGGCGCTATGAAACACAAAAGGAGAACCTGGAGTGGGAACTGGAGGGGTTGGGGAACAAAGGGACACAGAACACGACAAACCAACTACACCAACTGGGGTTTGTACTCAGAAATGTCCCGATAGAGCCGCTGGATGGGACTTGTGGTTAACTTGTGCGGATTAGGCATTAGACATTAGACATCGACAAACAACCGGTGTTTGTAAAATAGGAAAAATTGCTCGGGAAACAGAATGGAAGAAAAAGAAAATTGACAGCACTGATGCTGCTTTAAAATCACCGTTTTTAAACTTAAAATGCCGAACAAATGCAGCAGAAATCCCTCCACATGCTGTAATTTACACTGCTTTATGTTCTCCTAAAGAGCACTGTAAAAAAAATAGCTATTTATCTGTTCATTGAACACCTCTTTTCACATCACAAAACCACTCTCCTGGGATGGCTTAAATTACAGTGTGCTTTGACAAAATAAAAATTTTTAATGTCATTCATGTCCGTTCATTGCTGGAACCGTCGCAATTTTCCGATGTTTTAGCAAAGTCCTGAAAGGGCTCATTTTGTATGGAGACACATTGGCTGAGAGGACCGAGCCATCATATTTTTCCCGTCTCAGAAACTTCCCAGTGCTCTTATATTGGAAACACAGCTTGTTTTTAGGCCATAAGGAATCTTGTCATTAAATTTGTTGTTTCTCCCGTTCATCTGACCTCATTGCAACAGATAACTTCACTTGTGGGATCCCAACTTGTTGGACTCCCACTTAATTATGAAGAATTTAATATTTAAACAACATTTTAACTCAAGTTTCAAGTATTCAATTTAATTTTATGCAGAAATTTCTAAATGCTGCTTCACCAAAATGTGTGCAGGTACTGGTACTTTTGGTCGGAGTCATCGTACTACATGGCCATACCTAGCTAGACGACACAACAAATGTACTTTACTGAATAATCCTTTGTATAGCAGGAAAAAAAACTCACATTTTTACAAAGGACCTCTGTCCCTGCACTTCCCAGGCTGTTGTCAGGGCGACGAATGATAGAGGTATGGCTTTCATCTCGCTCCCATGTCCCATGAGCCTCTTTGAACGCCGGCCACCCTGTCCCTGAGTCGTACTTAGCCTCTGAACTGGGATGTGAAGAGACAACACACATCCATTCAGTACCGCTGTAGCCACACTTTATTTTTTAAGTAATATCTTTGTGCCGGTTGGATCCAAACGGATACCTGAAGAGTGGAACGTCACAGCCGACACAGTGGTACATCCCCACTTCAAAATGGTTCAGGTAGATCCCACTGAAAGGCTGAAAATACCCACAAAAGTTTAGACAGATGCAAACCCAGAAGAGGTGTGTGTTGCTAAATATATACAGACAGAACTGGGCCTCGGGTTCATTGTCTTATCGTTTCTGTGCTTTTAAACGTGACACTTTGATCGTATTTCTTTACTGGCAGCACTAAAAGCTTGTAGCTATACTGACACAAAATAGCTGATCAAAGTCCACCTGTAAGGACGGTTCATGGCAGATCAGGCTGTTACATTCACTCACCTCCTCAGTTCCCTTCTCTCTGGTGACTACAAACTGCTCTGGGGTCAGTTTCTTCTGCCAGTCTGTGGTCTGGTCATAACGTGTTAGAGACTGCAGACCTGCACAAAGCAGAGCAGAACACAAATCATGATTAAGGCAGTATTCATCATTACAGCATCGTCTTTAGTAGTTTGAGCATAAAACTAAATAAGGATTACACCTGGAGGTAAATTAGTAGAAAAAACTTTAAAGTAAGGGGGGGGGGGACGACGAATTGTTTGCATTTCTGTGAGATTTTAAGACAAATATGTAACAAAGCGAATTAAAAGACAAAAAATTGAATAAGAACTCAACATCCAGACAGAGTCAAGTGCACCAGGGGAGCAGCTGCAGCAATGGGACATACATGGTCGGTCTACCTTTAGATGTGGAAAAAGGACGGATGATCTTCCTCGGTTTCACCGCCGATCTGACTGCTGCGTGGCCAGAAATGACGAGGAAACGTCCGACGAACCGAGACATGTTTGTTCCCGCGGTGTCAGGTGGCAAGAGTCGTGCGCTCCCGACGCCGCGCGAGGGTGGCGAGCAGACGTCTATCGCAAGCCTTGATCACAATTCGCCCACTTTTGAGCACGTTTGGTTATTTAACAGTGTCTTAATCGCCGTCTTTAAACTTAAAACGCCGATAAAAGCGGCGAAAATCCCTTGAATCAATTTCCCTCTGGGATTAATAAAGTATGTTTAAATTGAATTTGAATTCAGAACGCCATATTGCACACCGTCTTCATGTAGTCTTTCAGAGCGCCGTAAAAAACGACGTTTTATCTAGTCATTGAACGCCGAACTGCAGGCACTTTTAGCGCGTACTCAGAACGGCGCAAAAGACGGCGTTTTTGACAGCATACATGGACGTAATTTTGGGGGGGACAGGGGGGACGTGTCTCCCACCCCCACCCCCCACCCACCCTCCCCAAAGTCAAGTTTTGATCCCTGCACTTTTTACCATCCAAAAACAATATTACTTTATATTAAATTGACACTGGTTGAGCTCTAGGACCAAGCAGAAAACAACCATTTGTGTTGAAGCCTGTTTCCCATTAGAACGTACTGGCTTAAATTCACCAAAATGACCTCATATATAGTGATTGTTGCATTAGCTCATGTTAAACATGATTTTATTACTGCTATTTGCATTGATATTAATAAAATGAAGACACTGACACAATCTGTCCCTATTAAATAAACAATAATAAAACATGGACTGATGTGATCAGACTTGTATCAGTTGGCTGTATTCACCACTAGGGGGCACCCAGACGTAAGCCAAAAGCCACAGGAGGAGTTTTCAAAGTGTGTTTTATTTGTTAGGAATGTAAAATGACTTTCATCATATTTAAATTTTCTGATTATATGTAAAAGTAATTAAAAAACGAGTAAAATGCTTAATGGAATGAACCTGTTATTTACATATCTGATATTTTCAGAAATTCAAGATAAAAGATTGTTTCATTGCACAGGTGTACAACAAAGTTGTCTTTGCGCTCACTAAAGACAGCTCATAAGGATGTAGTAAACTATAAGAACAATTTAAAACCCAGACCGAGAGCCCTTGAGACAGATTCCCTGAGTTGTAACTGCCTTCTGTAATTGTGTAAATATGTCTGTGTAGCTAAAACAAATGAAAATGAGGTTTTTAATCTCAGTGGGAACTTCCTGGTTAAATAAAGAATAAATAAACAAGGCTAAAACTGAAATCATGCATGCACAGACACACACACACACACACACACAGTCAGTTAAGGTGCACAGATAAGCCTACACCCTTGGACAGACCCAGGAGTGTGGTGGAGAACTTCTGATCCCAGCTTCCATCTGACTGAAGGTGCAAGGTCAATGAACAGTTCCAGGTTAAAAAAAAACAACTCCTGATATTCTAACAGAAAAACCTGTTGCTCCGTCTCCGCTCTGCTCTCCAGTCTTTCTCATCTTCTCTAGAAGCTCCTCCCACAACAATGTGATGTTGTGTATCATTTGTTTTCAGGCTAAACTAACCCAAGAACTCTGCTGTCAGACTGACTGTGGCAGCTACAAAATGGTCCAGGCTACCTACCATGACGCTTTGCAGGTGTGGTAAAAGTGATTTTTTTTTTCATTGTGTAATCTTCATTACAACCTTTTGAGTTTTAACATCATCTATATTTTTGTTTTATAGCAAAGTGTGCTGCTGCTGTGAGCTTGGAGCTAGATTACATCATGACATCACAGAGGAGCTACTGATTCTCGTCCAATAACACTTGGTGGTGATGTGTGAGCTGATTCACCTGGTAAATAACTTTTACATAAACATTTTCTCTTTGGTAACAAAGTGAATTAACTAATAACTTGCATTCCTGTAGGACACTGAGCGAAATATGGACGCTACGCCATGAGGCAGGCACACGTGGAGATTATATAGGAACATATATGGTGAGCAACAGAACACATTATTATTGATATTATTGTTCACTGTCCTGGATGTCTTTCTGCATCTCTTCATTAGCCTGGCTGACCACCACTGCAGGACACCTGACAACTCCTGTCATCTGGCTATGAGGGCAGAGTGAAGAGCTAGTCTGGCTGCACTCAGACTAGCCGTTAGCACATCAGTCCAGTCCAGTTTACCACAATATCTATATCGTCAAACAAAGCACAATATGTGATGAATATGTTTTTTTATATTAGATTGTCTGATTACAGAGTTTCCTGTCATACTCATATCTGTGCACCTTAAACTGACTGTGTTTGCAAAAGGTGTGTGTGTGTGTGTGTGTGTGTGTGTGTGTGTGTGACATCAATTTTAGCCTTGTTGATTTATTCTTTATTTAACTGGGAAGGTCCCATTGAGATTAAAAACCTCTTTTTCAAGAGAGTGCTGGGCAAGAGGCTGAAAAAATTACAGTTACATTTGTTTTAGCTACACAGACATGTTATTTACACAATTACAGAAGGCAGTTACAACCAAGCCCCCACAATGCGGCTCAAAAATTGAAGCAATCCCGGAAGTACTAAAACTTGCAGTTCCACCCTCATCCGCTAGGGGCTGATGTCAGAAGCGAGCAAATCCTCATTGACTCCCATGTTAAAAATACCAATTTCACAGCAGAAATAAACATGTTTACAGCCTGGTTCCAAAACATGTTTTTGGTTTAAATTATCTAGTTTACACTCACAACAACTCTGAGGGGGGTGAATTTTTTCTCACTCTTCTGTTTAAGTGTATTAAAAGCCTAAAATTCTGTATAATTAATGAGCATCTGACCCATGTGACCGCTGCCTCAGACCCACGTGACCACAGAGCTAGCTCCAGGGAAAGGCCTCAGTCTGAGCCTCGGCCTCGCCTGAAACCTGTTCGGCCATTTTCAGTCTCTCAACTTAGACCATTAGTTGTAGCGTTTGTGCGTTCTTTTTTGGATATTTTTTGTGCAATTGTTGGACAAAATGACTTGCTGTGGCATTAATTGCACTAATAGAGCGTCCAAGGAGTCTCCTCTTCATTTTTTTCGGTAAGTAAAATTATATTTATGTATTTTAGGTCACTGCTGAGCTGAGCTTAGATCTTAACATGTACTGTTTAACCATGAAATTTAAATATAATAGGGTAATACCCAGTGCATTTAACACAATGCTGCACTTTAGAAAATGGGTTGAAATATAACATGTTGGTGGAGCTGGGTTCCGACTATCGGCTTGTGGAGCTCTTGGGAGACCGATGTTTTCCACCCGTTTCTCCCCTCCCCGCAGCTCGGCGCATCTCTGTCTGATCGCGGCTCCTGTCTGCTGCGCGGGCTGCCAGCTTGTGGAGCTCTGGGATGGAAACCTTTCCACCCGGTTCTCCCCAGCGGCAGCTCTGCACATCTCAGATCGCAGCGGCGCTTGTCTGCTGTGCGGCTGCCGGCTTGTGGAGCTTTCGGGAGACCTCTGTGTTCCACCCGGTTTTACCCAGCGGTCAGCCCGGCGTATCTCTGACTCAGAAGCTCTGGTGTTGTGCACAGTTAACTCCGGTTGTAGCTAGGTTGCTACCTCCGTTAGCTTAGCTCCCACCTCCGCGTTAGCTTTGGGTTAGCTTCAGGTTAGCTTGTAGCTAGTTTGACCGGGTGTCGTCAGTTGATCCCAGCCTTACAGCCCCACCCTCAGCTCCACCTCTCTTCCCTTTTGTGGAATTGTCTGGGCTTGACGGAACCTGTGACACGGTCAAAATGGCGGTGGTGGCCACCTCCCATTTGGCCTCAAAAACGTGTTATTGGAGTTTATGAAAACCCATTGTCCAATATTTATATGTCGACGGTTACAACACAGGGAATCTGTCTCAAGGGCTTTCAGTCTGGGTTTTAAATTTTCCTTATTTTTTACTACATCCTTATGAGCTGACTTTAGTGAGCGCAAAGACAACTTTGTTGTACACCTGTGCAATGAAACAATCTTTTATCTTGAATTTCTGAAATTATCAGATATGTAAATAACAGGTTCAATCCATTAGGTATTTTATTCGTTTTTTATTTACTTTTACTTATAATCAGAAATTTTAAATTTGATGAAAGTAATTTTAGATTCCTAACAAATAAAAACACACTTTGCCCCCCCCCCCCCCAACCCCCCCCCCCCCCCCCCCGGTGGCTTTTGGCTTACGTCTGGGTGCCCCCTAGTGGTGAATACATCCCACTGATACAAGTCTGATCACATCAGTCCGTGTTTTATTATTGTTTATTTAATAGGGACAGATCGTGTCAGTGTCTTCATTTTATTAATATCAATGCAAACAGCAGTAATAAAATCATGTTTAACATGAGCTAATGCAACAATCACTATATATGAGGTCATTTTGGTGAATTTAAGCATAAAATTAGCCTGGCAAGCCAGACTAAATAAATGTATTATTTAGTCCAAAATTGATGTAAAAGCTGTTTCAAACGAGCTGTCGCCATCTTGTTTCACTCTATTGCATCATCCCACCCACCAGGCATATAGTGCCCTGTTTGGCCCACAAAGCGAATTAAGCTCTGTGATTTGTTCACTAAGCAGATAGAGCACTATGATTGGCCCACCATTATGGACCAATCACAGGTCTTTATGTGTTTGAACCCCTCTAGAGAGCTGTGATTGGCCAGCCAGAATGCTGTCGGGGATTGAAGAGGTTCCAGTGGAGCAGTCCTAGACCAAACTTTGCAAAGCAAGAATTTGGTCTAGTTCACTAGACTAGCATAAAATAGCATCTGCAGGAAACCAGGAAATAGCATCTAGGATGAACTAGTACTGTCTGTATTTTCTCATCGTGGATTGGGAAATCAAACTTTAAAATAAGTGGCTGCGAAAACTTTGGGGAGTGGCCTGCAAAACGCCGTCTTTTACGCCGTCAGGAAAGTCATAGAACGCCGTAAAAGACGGTGTTTTGTGCTGTCAAAAACGTCATCTTTTACACCGTTCTGAGGACGAGCTAGAAGTGCCTGCAGTTCGGTGTTCAATGTGGCATTCAATGACTAGAAAAAATGTCATTTTTTATGGCGCTCTGAAAGACTACATAAAGACGGCGTGCAATACTGCATTCAGAAGGGATTTCCTCCGCTTTTTTCTGTGTTTTAAGTTTAAAGATAGGGATTAATATGCCGTTAAATAACCAAACGTGCCCAAAAGTGGGCGAATTGTAATCCCAATAAGGCTTGCGATAGAGCGGCGCTTCGGCACCACAAGTGACCTATAGAATAGGATAACAAGGGCGCTGAATGAAGGCGGTCCCCGTTTCGCGGCGCTTCGGCGGCCGGTGTGTCCCAGGCGTCATGCTGCAGCGGATCCACGCTGGGCAAAAACCAAACCTCCACCTAAATAGGTCAAAGGTGTCACCGTTTTTTATTGTTGGGAAAGGAGCAAAGTGCAATCTGTCATGAATAGAAAAGAAAACCAAGGAGGGAATTCGTCAGAACACGTGTGCCCCTCGAGACTAGAATAAATCATGAGTCCGTTTGCTGAAGTTTATTTAATAAATCAGTTTCACATAAAATGGTCAAATTTGACTAGAACACATCAGCTGGGTTCAATCCCAACTATTGTCAATGAGAAATAATTTAAAGAACCTTTTAGTCTATCTAACCCAACAGATAATAAATATGTGTTCAAATGTTTCATGCAACAATCAGACTTTTTCCTCCTTTGGCTTGTGCATGCAAATAACTTATTCTTTGGTTTAAAGCTCAAACATGTATCTCACACACAAACTGTAGTAAACTCAAACAGCCTATTTAGTCTGATACTGCAGAGCAGCTAGGGTATCAACTCCCAGCAGGGCACCAGGCTGGTGCATCAGGTCTACTATGTAGTGGCACGGCTGGGATGGGCTCCGGTTGGTGGGATTCTCCCTGAACAGGACCACTTCATTCCAGGCCCGGTTGTACTCGCCCCTAACAAGGGAGCAGCTCATTTCGATGCAGTCAGCAAGATACTGAAAAGATCCAGAAAACAGGATGAGAAGTGGATAGTTTAGAGAAAACTATGTTTTAAAGGTGCAATAAGTAAGAATTTTACTGTGAAATTATCACAAAGCAGTCTAATGTCTCAATATTGTCAGAAGGAAGGTTAAGTTGAAACAGATTTCCTTCTTAGCCGGTTGGTAGTTGTCAGTTTGTCTTCATTTAAAAAGGCCAAATTAAATAGAAGCATTTTATTTGCATGTTTCCTTTCAGCAGGGAGCGATTCAGACACAAAACAGGAGCAAAAGTGTTAAACACAGCTGATCCCGTGAGGTCACAAAAACACGGGGAGATTGCAACATCACGAGTGATTTCAGAAGTCCATACAATGACAAGCTAGGAGAAAGACAGCTGCATTTATCCAAAACGTCTGTGGTTTATTTTCTGTTCCATTTACATCAGCTTTGAGGAAATTAGGTAGTGACTTTTATTTTAAAAGTTTACAGATGTTTAACACTAATTTCCTGTTTGACTTACAGTCTGACCCGATTTAAACTGCAGAGTTTTACATGTTTTGGAAGCGTAGTGCGTAAATAGACTTGAAACATAATGATAACGTCTCTTCGCTTCTGGGACGCGTCCGAAGCGTTACACTTGGCTGCAGATGGAAAGGAAACAGATCACGGCGGCTAATTGTCTCAAAGTACATTTCACAACCGTTCCACTAAGCTTTTATGTCTGGTGGAAAAGAGGCTTAAGAAACCACAACACATTTTTGTTTTTCTCTAACATCGGGTAAAGAAGGCTAAAGGCTAACGATGAGCTGACAATGCTAGCAGTGTATTAAAAACAATAATGACTCTAAAAATGTCTCAAGCTACTTTTTCAGTAACCAACAACTTAATATTACAGTGAAATTTGTTTATTTCATGTGTATGACTCGTCTTCACTCGTTGTCTAGAATCTTCTGTTGCTGGGACTGGTATCTGGCAACAGTTGCTCAGAGCAGACTTGTTTGTTTTGATGCATGGACTGCAGTACCCACATTTGACCAGAAGATGTCAGTCTTACTTCATGCACCTTTACATACAGAAAACGTTTTGAAATGTAGTTTTCTACTAAGAAAAGGGCTAATCTAATCAAAGTGGGGGAATACCTTGAACAGCAGAGCTCTGTGGCAGTAGAAGCCCTTGTTGATCGAACCGATGGGAATAACATTAGACTTCAGCAGAACCTTTAGCTCGCTGAGATGCAGCTCCCATGGGAATTCATGCAGCTTTTCCATTCCCACCGCACCGCCCATGGCATCACTCACCACCCTGACGATCACAGAGAAAACCCATCATGTGGAGAAGTGTTTGCTTTGCATCTCTGGGCTGTATCTCTGCTTCCGCTTTTCAGCATCATTTAGTTTCTGAGCAACTTTTTGTCTACTTGTGACAAAGATATCTGCTTGTTTCTCACCTGGCTAGAGCTGAATACTGCTCTTTATCGTCCTTCAGGGGGAAGATGGATTCTTTGGCTTTTTTAACTAGCATCTGCAGAGAAACGTCATCAATCATGCCCTGTGGTTTCACCACTGTGGACTCAAAGTGGGGCTCATCTGTGTGTTTAACCTTCTCTTTCTTCTTCCTGAGACAGATCAGAAGAGCTTTCTGTGAAGACAAGATAGCTGATTCATGTTGGAACTAGATAAACAGATCCCAGCAGAGTTTCCTTTGCTGTTCTGTGTGGAGTGTCATATTGTAAAGATGCATTTTCACTCCCTTCTCTGTGTTTATCAGCTTGTTGTTACGAAGAAAAACAAAGTAAAAAATGGATTACGTAATATTCTTAATTTGTTAATGCGACCTAAAAGGGGGCGTAAAGAGACGGACCCTATGGGTGCTGCTCTCCTCGGTGATGCAAACAGGATGGACGCAGCTTTTAAATAACAAAATAGTGTTTTGTACATTAACAGGTTTCATAGGCAATTATTAACGGTTTGTGGTGCCTCTTCATTTTATTGAGTATCTTTGTTTTGTGTCTGTTTATAATTCAAGTGTAAGACAGATCAGAAGGCCAGAAGTCTGAGCACAAAGGGGCTGAGTGGTTTGGCATCTTAAAAAGGGGGATTGTTTACCCGGTGAGGCCAAGCTGTTGGGGGAAGGAAACGAGAAGGGAGATGGGGAAAAAGAAACTAATTAAGGAGAAAGTCGAGCACTGGATTGGAGCAGACGGGGGGAGGGCAAAAGTGATTTCACAGCCACAAAACTCGTTCCAACTCTTCTGTTTTCTCAGAAAAAAATTCTACAAAAGTGGCTTGCTTCAGTTTAACGGTTTGGGAAAACTAAAATGAGAATCCGTTAAGAGCTAAACTGATCTTGTTGTATATCTGATAAGCTACAACGAAAAATGTCAATTTGGTCAAAAGTTTCCTTTAATTTGTGAAAAAATGTTGTGTTGTTGGATTCGTACTCCGCTGCACTGTCAGCAAAGATGATGGGCCGATGATAGTTGACTGGCTGCTTAAACAGTTCCTCTAGAGTCGGAATCATCTGACCAGAGCAAGCCTGTGAGACACACACACACACACACACACACACACACTTGTGAATCATACAGTGCCATCATCATTGACTTTCTCCCTGCATATTTAAATGAAGTAAATTGTCGTTATCCAAGAGATCACTGATTTTAGTTTCTGCTTAAACAACGATGGACCAACAAACCTTCCCAGCATCGTAGAATCCACCAGTAATCATATCAGTGGGAGATAAATGACCCATCAGGCTGTATTTAACAGATAAGTTGCAGTTGAGCAGGCTGATCATGGCCAGCTCGCTGAAACGGTTTCTGTGATTTTCTGAATGTTTGATTTCCTCAAGCATTTCCAGAGCTCTAAGAGACAGAAACACAAAAATTACCTAAGAACTCATTTATTGTCTTTTGCTGCCATCTGCTGGCAACTTTATAAATTACATTTTAACAATTTTCTTTTCATTGATTATTGTTTTTTCACAAGCGCTCCATCACAACAATTCAGCATTATTTTTGTTGTAATTGTACCCAATTCTGCACATTTCCACTGAAGAGGGCTTATCGCTGGCCAACACATTCACAGCCAAGCATGCATTGTGCAGCACGTCCTTGTCTTTAGTTTGTAGCAAATTCACCAACAGCTGCAGACCCCCAGCTTGCCGAAACTAGGACAAGAGCGATAGTTGGGTTACTCTGGGACAACTTAGCACATACTGTTTGGCAATTCTTTAAATATCTGTGTTTTAGGTCATTGTTTTTTTGTGTCACATTCTGAGTTAGAAATGTAGCAACATTCAAAATACCAGACAGTTTATTTGATACAAAACATCAGATGTTGTAATATTTTGGTGGCTACACAAACATGAGAATGTTGCAGCCATCACTAAACAAACACCAACCTGTGTCCTGGCTTCTTTATCGCAGGCCAGGACTGTCACACACTGCATCGAGTTGACCAGGACCTGAGGATCTTTGGACTTCAGCGGTTCAACCAAAGCCTCCATGCCTTTGTGTGACAAGATGCTGGATCGAATGACCACCTCTCCTGCCATGAGGCAAAGTGTGGCAGCAGAACTGGCCACCGTCTTTGAACAGCTTCCATTCAGCAGCCGGACAAGGATCTTATGCCCCCCTGCCGTATACACCGCACTGGAAGATACCGTCTTATATTTAATGAATATTATTGAAATGAAAACGTACTTCTATGTTAAAACCTGCATTTGTATGAACATGCATTTGAAGATGTCTTCTTTTAGGTCACCTCCCAGTTGGACATGTCCGGAAACCTTGCCAAGAAGGCATCCAGGAGGCATCCTAACTAGATGCCTGAGCCACCTCAACCGGCTCCTCTTGAGCAGCGGATCTACTCCGAGCCCCTCCTGGATGACCGAGCTTCTCACCCTATCTCTAAAGGGAGAGCCCAGACACCCTACAGAGAAAAATCCTTTCAGCCGCTTGTATCTGTGATCGCATTCTTTGGTCACTACCCAAAGCTCGTAACCGTAGGTGAGTGTAGGAACGTAGGTCGCACGGTAAATCGAGACCTCTCTCTTCACCATGACAGATCAGTACAACGCCCGCATCACTGCAGGCGCAGCATCACCCCGCCTATCGATCTCCCGCTCCATCTTTCCCTCACTCATGATCATCACCCCTTACCTGGATGAGGCAATCTACCCTTTTTTTTCTAGCAAAACTAAGTTTTTGTTTCTGATAAACAGAAAAACATTTGATTTATGGGCAGTTTTTGTAACAGTTTGGTGGTTAACAGTACACACAAGCTACAAGAATTGCAATAAACCTTTCATCTGCAACTCCTCATGTGTGCCTCAGGGTTCGATTCTAGGGCCACTCCTATTCTCGATTTACTTATTGCCATTGGGGATGATTCTGACAAACCTTGGAATAAGTTATCACCTTTACGCGGACGATTGCCAGATTTATCTGGCTTTAAGTAAACCTGACTCAACACGCCTCCGTGTCGACTGTATTACTGCAGTTAAAGGCTGGCTGTCGGAGAACTGCCTTTGCCTGAACGAAAACAAGACCGACGCCATTCTTTTAAATCCAATAAATCCAGAGCATGCACCTGGTGACTACCCTCTACTGTTTTTAAATCTTAAATCCTGTGTGTCCAGTCTGGGAGTGAAACTTGACTCTGATCTGTTAATGAGTTCACAAATTAACTCTACAGTCCGGTTCTGCTTTTTTCAACTACGTTGCATCTCGTGCTTAAAGTCGATAGTCGAACGACCTCAGCTGGAGTCTGTTGTTCACGCCTTTGTAACCACACATTTAGACTATGCCAACTCACTACTTGTTGGTGTCAGTGTCTCAGCAATCGAGCGTCTACAGAGAGTGCAAAATGCGGCGGCTAGGTTCCTGACAAACACCTCGCAACAATGTCACATTTCACCCGTCCTTGCACGCTTGCACTGGCTGCCTGTTAAATACCGCATCCAATTTAAGGTTTTGACCTTTGTCTGCAACATTCTGAATGGTCAAGCCCCGGCTTATCTTTCAGAACTGATAAAGCCTTACGCTCCAACCAGAAACCTGAGATCTGCAGATCATTTGCTTTTGTGTGTCCCGAAAATGAGGTATAAATCTTGTGGCGAATGGGCCTTTGCGTTCACTGCTCCTAAACTCTGGAATGCTGTCCCCCTTAGTGTTGGAAAGGCCCCAGAACTGGGCCGATTTAAGTCGGTACTGAAGGCCTTCTTCTATCATTTAGCTTTTATTCAATGATCTAGTTTTTTGTGTTTTTACGTTTTATTCTGGCTCTGTATTTTATTGTTGTACATTTCTTTTACAGTTTTTTAGATTTTACCTCTTACCTCCTATATGACTTATCTGTTTTATCTTGGGGTTTGGCCTTTTTACTGTACAGCACTTTGGTCAGCTGTCATGCTGTTTTTAAATGTGCTGTATAGATAAACATGGTATGGTAACTGATTTGCAGCTCACATTGGAAGGGGTGGAGGTAAGAAGTGGCCAGTGTGTGACTCACAAGGCATTGGGCTGGTTGTTAACTGTGAGACTAGAGAGAGCCTGGGATGCAGCTTCTCTTAGTGCAAGGTTCTTACTGCTCAGCAACTCCACCATTGCAGGAATACAACCTGAAGAGCAAACACAAATCGTTTCACTCATTCAGTTTGCTGCAGTGAGTGTGTCGGTGCTGCTGTGACTCTGTGACTGTACCCAAGTCTCTGAAGCTGTCTCTGCTGGATGGATGGAGTCCCATGGCGGCCACAGCCTGACAGACTAATGCTTTCACGATGGTGTCCTCCACAGACAGAAGCCCCACTAAAACCTTCTCCACATCCTGCTCGTGGAGGACTTTTCGGCTCTCAGCTTCACGTAAACACAAATAACACAAACAAATGAAAAAATGCACATTAAATCCCCAAAAGACAGCTGTGCGTGTGTGCACTTACAGTTCTGAGCCACCCTGGTGAGGCATTTAATTGTAATGCACTTGATTTCTGGACTGCTGGGAGTGAGGATGAACTCCAGCAGCCTGGCCAGTCCTCCGTTACTGTGAATTAGCTGAACAGTCTCACTGTCACTCAAACAGTTAGCCATTACTTGTAAAGCTTCAGCATGTAAGTCAGTAAGTTTCTGTGGGAAAATAAATAAATAAATGGCCAAGAGTGCAGGAGAAAAACCTAAAGGGTCTGAAAATATCGCCTCCATCTTTTTTCCATGATTTTTGTTTTTTTACAACTAATGAAGAACATCTCATTGATGCATCTCTTCCCGTGCACTAACCGTGTTTTTAAGGATATCCATCAGCTTTTCAAACCCATGCTCATTCCTGAAGGTACTGCGTGTATCCTTATCAGTAGTGACACTCTGCAGCGTATTTAAAGCCAGATGCTGAATGACAGGGAAGTCGGACTTCAGCAGCTCCAAAAGTGGAGGAATCCCACCTAACGTATGTACCGCCTGGCGGCTTTTGTAGTCCTTTGTTCATCAAAACCACATAGGTTAGAAAAGGTTTACAAAACAAAAGAGCTGATGAGTGTTTAATGTGTTTAAAGGAAGAAGCAACACACTGTAGGGCTCCGAGTCACCTGAACCAAGTTGAAGATGACCTGTAGTGAGTTCTTCTTGACATCTGGGTCTGAGCTGGATAGGAGCACAATTAGAGGTGGCAGGCCGTTGTTCTCAAAGATCTGAGCCTTGCCTACGAAATCCACTGACAGAGTGGTGAGGCACAGTGTTGCATACTCGTGGATCACTGTATCCTCTATAACAGAATAAAATGCATTTACATAGTCAAATTAATAAGTATATTTCATATTAGGATTGTATTGCTTTTGTAAATAAATTAGTGTCCACAATGAAGATTACCATCAAGTGTGAGTTTTTCTATAACTGATGGAATGATATTTAGTTTTTTTAATACACTGCTTACATCTCCTGTCAAAGAAAGCAGAAGTTAAAGCAAGGCAGTGCATAACATCATTCATTCTGTTAAATCAATAAAACGCACAATCTACTTATCTAACTGAATCAGTGTCCCAGAATTAGAGTGTAAATGACAAATGTTTCTTAAATAAATCAACAGTTGGATGTAGGTTTTAAAGACACACCATTGGTAGCCATGATGCCCAGGGCTGTGAAGGCATTGCCTCTGATCACTCTGTTGTTGTGATTTATGAGCCTGCAGAGGGGCTCCAAGGCCCCAAGCCCCAGCAGAGAAACCTTATTCTCATCTCCTAACAACAGAGGGCGACAGTGAACAGAGGACAAACTCATGTCTCAGTTTGGTGACACACAAACTAAAATGTCATCACAAGGTAGTCTGGAAAGGTAATTTTGAATTAAAAGTTTAAAAGTATGTACATGTAAATGAGATTTCTGTTCAGTGTAAATAAGATCACAACAAAGAATGTACGTGTATTAGGTGGAGTTTACTGTACCTTTCTCTGCAAAGGTGCGGATTGCTTCACATGCTTTCACTATTATGTCCTCCTCTGGGGAGTTTAACAGCGACACTGCCGTTGCTTGGGTTTTAACCTCCACAGAAAATGGCTCAAACTGAGTCACGTGAGGGGGAATTGTTAAAATGTAGTAATAAAGGACATGCAGTCAAAATCTAGCCACATATTTCGCATTCGTTTCAGATGCTATTAGCTTCATCAAAGATTGAATATGTTAAACATTTGTAAAATTACCGTTTCCTTGCATGGAGTTTCACTCTCCTTTCTTGACGTTTTCCCCATTTTATTCTACAATATATGGGACAACATTTTTTACAATGTATAGATATTTAATAACTGCTTATTTCTTGTATGAAATTATAATTTCACACGCTATAGCTTGTAATAAGCTAGTAAGCTCCCAAGCTACTGCTACCGCTTAGTGCTAGCGCTGCCCATTAGCTTAAAATAATCTCATAATATTCATATAAGTACCTCAAATGTTTAAGGCGACTTATCCTTTCTGGCCAGTCTAAAGGAATCTATTTTAAGCGTTAAAACGTTTCCACTCGTGGACAAGAAGCAGACCGTCTTCAGTTTGTGAAAAAGGAAGTTGACAATGGGTTGCTAGGCAACGCATACCTCCGTGGGGTAAGTTATTCGTTTATTTTAGATGTTTAAAATAGTATCTGCCGGTGTAAATGTGCATTTCATCGGGTAAAACTTGCTATTTATAAGTTTATAAGTAACTTTACAAGTTTAAAAAACAAGCAAACGGTAGGGAAATGTCCAAATATGGTCATATTGACAAAACAATTAGATTTTGAACAAATTATTCAAAGGTTGGTGACTGCAAGCAACAGGGACATTACATAACTAACAGTCCTAATGTGCTGCTGTGAAGAATGACGCATAAAACAAATGAGCGCAACAGCATCAGCACATCGAGGCCTCCTGCTTTTAGAAAGGTACTGACACAGCAGTGCTGATGGAAACAGCGTAGTATGCACCAGAAAACCAAATGACCTCTAAGGACAATACAATGGGATGTTATTACTCTGGTTCCTGGAAGGAGCCTCATCTCAAGAAGCAGGTCTACATCTATCAAAACATAGGATAAAATAAAACAAGTCTTCCTCGTGGAGGGATCCGTAGAATGTTGATTATTTCCTGTATTAACACATAATCCTAATGTAGTGATCTTTTAAGAGAGGATGTGAAAAAGCAGCGTGGTTGAAGCAGGTCAGTGGAGGAGGGGGAGAGCTGCAGCAAATCAGCGCAGCAGACATTATTGTAGGGCTCGTGCTGTCACCTCCCATCCGTCGAGCTGTCAGTTGACAGCAGCACGCATGAACATCAGTGCAGCCGAGTTGGAGTTGACCACCCGTTGACATTACGTCGTACTATCTGCTTCTGTTCGGTGTTGTTCTTTAATCAAACGGGGCAAGGACATGACAGGATACACCCTTGTCAGCTGGTCGGACTAGCCACGAACGCGTAGGAGGACTGAGCAGCTGGCTAATAGCAACAGTTAGCTTGCAAGCTAACGGGAGCGGTGGTGTTGAGCGGAGTCTGGTTCTGTTTGCTGCCGTCATATGGCGAACCAAGGTCGGCGCTACTGTAGCCGTTTGTCCGCGGCGATTGGTTAGACATTGATCAACATTAATTTGTCGGTTTAGTGTTTTACTTTAACGGTAAATTGTAATTCGTTTCTCATTTGTCACAAAGATCAACGCATTTTACATTTAGTTTGCTATTTTTTTATTTACTACATTTATCGCCGATGTTCGCTATCTAGCGTGCTACTCGGCTATGCTAACGCCAGCTCACTGAAAGCTCCAGACCAGTCGAGGGAGGAAGAGTGTTGATGTGGGCTGGGGAAGAGCGCAGGACTGTGTTAGGTCAATGAGAACAGCGCGGTTAGCTTCAGAACATCATCGTCCAACATTGTTACTTCGCTTAACCAAGCTACGTGGGTTAATCGGTCACTTTGATGTTGGAGCTGGCCAGATGAATAGTGTTAATGGTTTTGAATTGTGAGCAGAAGACGCTGTTAACACCGTCAACGCACAGACTGCAGCAGTTTGCTTAAATATGGCTTCGGCGGGCGGCATTGCCGCAGTTATTGCGAGCAAAACGAAGACGAAGAAAAAACACTTCGTTGCCCAGAAAGTGAAGCTCTTCCGTGCCAGTGACCCTCTGCTCAGCGTGCTCATGTGGGGAGTCAATCACTCGGTGAGTCAGACAGTAATGCCTGTATGATGATGCACACGTATCACTCTAACCATTTTGATGCCCCACATTAAATATAATTTACTGTCAAAACTTTGAGTCTTTGTGTTGTTGCAGCTGCACGTGAAATGGGAGAGGCTGCAAGAGTGCTGGCTTTGAATAAGGAACTTCTATAGTTAAAACAACTAGTGTGTGTGTGTGTGTGTGTGTGTGTGTGTGTGTGTGTGTGTGTGTGTGTGTGTGTGTGTGTGTGTGTGTGTGATTTCCTGACTGTTGTGCTTAGAAGTGTTTATGGCTTAGTGTCATGAGAGAGCAGAGCATTCTATGCAAGCCTTATCTGTGTTTTCCTTCTCTTCCTTTGCTAAATATCTACTCAGTATTTTGTCTCTGAAGACCTGACGATGCACACGTTTTTGGCATCGAGTTCCAGTTTGAAATATTTCAGTTAGAATTTGTTACACACAGCATTGTCTGAAAGACTGGAGTTTAGTTTCAAATTAAAAATCCAACTTTATATTAGTAAATGAAGTTTTGGATGTCCGTTTTTATTATCTGAGTTGATAACATTGCAGTGCACTGGATCAGACCAGAATGCAAGTAATTCACACTTTTAAGCATTTTGGGGAACCACTTACTTAAGAGGCAGTCTGTAGTTTTTACTATTAATCTCTGGAAATATCCATCGCAACATTGTTGAAAATTAATTTATGTCCAATTGTCGAAAAATATTGGCGAGTCGTTACAAATAACCATAAAAATTGGGTCTAAAGTACATAGGGTGCGGGTCTAGCATCTTTGGGGACACCATATTAGACGCCATGTTCTATTCTGGCCGGTTCGGGGTCCTGCGCCTGCTGATAACTAAATGATTGGCTGAACATACGACTTACGGAAGTTACGTTACCATGTTCAAAACATTTAGGCAGTGAGAAAGACAAATTTAACAACAAAACTGCTAAACCCTTTCCAAAACAAAGAATGGAATCGAAAAAGGTGCAATATATTTTGGCCGAGCAGTATTGCAGGGCCCCGAGCAGATGCGGAAAGTACAGCGCCAGGAAACTACAATCGGCATTGCATTCTCTCAATGGAATTGATGGAAGGACCATCAAAGTCTGACGAGTCACGCCGAGGTTGCATGCTTTCTTCTCCATAGGTAACATTTACCACAATGTATTTTTTTAACTAGCAACAGTCACGGCGATATGGTGTAAAACTACCCTGAAATGTATGTACTGCCCCTTGTCATCAGGAAACTACACACTGCAGCTAAAAAATTGCTTCTTGTTGCTTATATATTGTTACTAGAAGTGCTGAAGCACTGCAACAACTGTGCAGGTGCAGCATCAGCTGTGCTTAAAAGCAGTTCTACCAGTGAAACATTTAACCGATACTTTTATTGTTTTACAAAGAAATGGATGGAATCTAAGGGATGTCTGCTGACTCGTCTGTGCAGTCTTTGTGAAATTCCCTAAAACAGTAACCTGATTGTTTCACAGTGTTTTTAATCTAAAGGGCACACAAAAAACACCAATAACTTATAGAAATGTGTGATTAACAGAGTTGAAGTTGAGTTTCCAGTTGGTGTTCATTTCGAATTTTCAAAAATGGGGTGACTGTTCATTCTACAAATGCAGGGTTTCCCCCGGAAAATGAGTTGAGCCTAACGGATTCGGCCATCGGGGGGGTGGGGGGCCTCGCGCGCTCCGTCCCGCAGCGCTCCTCCGTGAGAGTGGGGGTGGCGCTGCTGTTTCTCACCAGTATCAGCTGCTGGAGGGCTCAAGTTTTGTTGCGCTGTTCATGTGAGTGGACACGGTAGGGTCTGGGAGAGGGGCGGGGCATGATGCTTAGCCTGGCAGGTGGCCAAGCAAAGCCTGGCGGGCCGCCAGGCTTATAAAGCGCTGGGGGAAACCCTGAAATGGTTCAGTTGGCTTGTTCAGCACGTGATGTTAACCTTAGAAGCAAAACATCTACTTCTGAAATAATATATTTACTAATACAAATTGATATTTGTTGGTTCAAATCCATTTTTTTGAGAGGACACTAAGGACACTATTTACTTTTAAACCTCGCTTTGATGCAGGCGGCAGGCTGCGTCTTGCTCACAAATGACGTTTACACATCAGCGTCAGTTCGGTCCCTTCCAGGACCAGAATTTGGTTTCTCACTAATGTCAGATTTGCAATTCTTTTTTTCAGACCTTCTCCCCAGCGGTCAGACTGGGACCGAGGCAACACTATTTGTCCGGCAAAAAATTACGCCTACCGCCTCCGATCTGCGAGAAGAATGAGCCAGCGGGAGGTTTCTCGCATGCGCGATTCATTTTCATGCAGGATGCTGTTGAGTAAACTTCTGTCTGTAGCACGGACCTGCCGTTACAGAGCTGCCGTTACGGAGCTGCCGATCAGTGGATAGAGTGCAGGATATGTAGGGTACAAACATGGCGTCTAATATAGAAGAGATCAGCAGCTGATTAATTTTGAGATCACAACATAAAAACAGACTGCAGCTGTATCGTAGATTAGAGGTGCTCAAAAAAATCGATTTAAGTCTGAATCGGGATTTTTATTTATAAAGATTCAGAATCGATTCACAAAGGTTCAGAATCGATTCCAAGAACTAAAATGTTTGGCATGTTAGGTTTGAGATGCACTTTTATGATCTTTGTTAGGAGAATCAGTACTTCGTTTACTCTTGTGGTCCCATAAACTGAGATGATTTGTGTCTGAATCTGCTAATAAGAGGGCACTTGAATGTAATTTTTTCCATACTCAGAAATTTGAGATATTCTCATATTTATTTTCTAAGTTGATAAATGAGTACTCAGGATTACTCATGTAACTTGTTTCTACACATACTTGAAAAGTATTTGACCGTATTACTTTCAAAGCTACTGTTGGGTAACTACAGATTTGTTATATTTTACAAGGTAAGCAAAAATAAATGTTGCCTTTTGGTCAAAAGATTGCTTCTGTTTACAGTTTTAGAATCACTTTATTTTACATTGTAAATTTGCATTTTTGGAGCATGACCAGTTTAAAGTCAGATAAAAATGTCCCTTAGCTTTAACTAACTTGTACAACAAAGTAGTTAATCCTGGAGCTGACACTCTTTGTTAATACTGATTGTGATTCGATTTAAATTGAGAATCGAGAATTGATTCTGAATCGAATCGGCACCCCAAGAATAGGAATCGGAATCGAATCAAATCGTGAGTTGCTCTAAGATTCACATCCCTATGGTAGACCTCTAAACCAGGCACGGCGTGTCAGTAGTTAGTAGTTCTCACTTGTTTGGTAACTCCCCTACTGGTTAGTTGCGTGTTGCAACTTGCGACCACATTACGTTAATTTCACAGGACGCACACAAACAACATTTCAAACAAACAAAAAAAAAAACATTTCAAACAAACGCTAATTATGCAAGGCAGCCATGATAAACAGGCTCATACTCAATTAAGAGCAAGTATATTGTTAGCTTAAGTCATCCAGGGGATAGTAAACACAACAGGACCTTATTTTTGGCTCTAAAACATAAAAATAAGTCATTTCTGGAATTTCATTTATAGGCCGACATTAAGAATATTTATGGATAAGACACTGTTCAGAATTTAAATGTATTAGGTCACAGGCTTGTAGTTTCCGTCACTTTTGACAGATAGTTAAATAATTGGGCATGTCCCCATCATCCTCTGCGACACCCTCGAAGAGCCTTTGCGCCGACTCATAATGGCGTTGGGTAGCGACGTACTCACGCAGACGGAGAAGTATAAATCAGGTTTTTGAATAATAATGTCGGCAAATTTAAATGAACCTTCAGCAAGGGTTAAAATTAAGCAAGAATTTAGGGACTACACATATTTTGCAGATTCTTTCATGTTTACCACTTATATTACAGGAAATTCTTACATGTTTATTTTTTAGAGAAAAATGTGTTAGCATAAACCTCCCGTAGTAGCAGTGGGGTTTTGGTGGTGTGTTAAGGTTGCATGTAGGTTTGGATTACACATCCTCTAAATAGCCTGACGAATGTAAAGCCAAGAGTGCTAAATATCCAAAGGTGTAATTCAGTCTGTAGTTGGATTACTGTCCACCTGGTCGTGGTGTTAAGACTGCAGGTCAAAGTCAGGTTCACAACAGGTTTACCATCAAGCAGCTTTATTCATTATTCATTCATTCTGTCCTAATTATGGAAAACATTAGAGATTGTTACATTTGAATCTCAAATTTGACACGCCCCAACTCAGATAGCGTTTTGTTGATGGAACACCTCTTTAAATTGTTTTCATATTGTCAGCAGCTCTCTCTAAATGTTGGATTTAAAGGTTACTGTAATAATTTCATTTCTAGAGTAGTATTTGTATAGCCAGCAAGCCATCCTATATAAATTATAAATGATAAATGACCCGCACTTGTATAGCGCCTCTCAGAGTAAGGACTCCAGAGCGCTTTACACTACAGTGTATCATTCATCCATTCACACACATTCATATACTGATGATGATGAGCTACAGTGTAGCCACAGCTGCTAAATATATAAATATTTAGCCTGGCCAACAGCCATTGAAACCACCCGGCCGTGGGGTGGAATCTGCAGTTTTCTTTCAAACTGTCTCCGCACGTAATTGGACAGCGCTAGGACAAATCAGAGCTACAAACATCCTGATGAAATCACCGCTAATGATGTCAGCTAATGGGGCAGTCCTCCATATAGCATCAAAGAAGAAGCAAATGCATCCTTTTTCTAAATAAGTACTTGAGTACCTAATTGTACTCATGTCTCAAAGAAAGGTTCAAGGTCCAAATCGTTAAAGGTTCATTCCAAAGTCATTTTAAACGAGCGCCGTTCGTGATCTGACGCCATCTTTGTAGTTTTTCTCTAACAGCTCTAGTGTGTAACCCACCTAACAAACAAAAAGCTCTGTGATTGGCAAGAAACAAAACTGTTCAGGCCAATGGTAGACCTGCTAAGGCTACAATGGAGCACGGCTAGACCGACCTGCG